TCACAAAATGTGAGAGGGATTTGAACTCCATCACTGGCTTTGGAGCTGGAGGAGGCCATGTAGCAAGGAAAACAGCAACTTCTAGGAGCTAAGAATGGCCACTGGCTGATAGCTAGCAAGTGAGCAGGGATCTCAGTCCTACAACCACAAAGAACTGAATTCTGCCACAACCACGTAGGTTGAATTAGGACCCTGGAGCACAGGTGAAAGTGCAGTACAGTCAACCCTTGGTTTTAGCTTGTGAGACTGAGCAGAGAATCCAGCCACAAGTGCCCAGACTTCTGATCTACAGAACAGGGAACTAGTAAATGGGTGTTGTTTTAAGCCACTAAGTTTATGGTAATTTGCTGCACAGCAATAGAAAATTAATACACCCATTTACTATACTTATGCCAGATGTTATCATCAGGGAAAAGTGGGTGAAAGAGACACAGAATTTCTCTATACTATTTTTTTTACAATTTTCTATGAATCTATAATTATTTCAAATAAAAAAGGTTTTAAAATGGAAGACTGCACATTCTTTTCAAATACATGTAGAACAGTTACAAAAATTGACCACGTGTTAAGCCACAAGAACATTTAAAAGTTTTCAGTAAGCAGAAATCATACAGGTCTTAATCACTGACCACAATGCAAAAATTAAGCAATTAATAAAATATGGGCAATGAAAAAAACAAAGAAAAAATAAATTAGAAAACACACTGCTTAATAATTCTTGGATTAAAAAAGAAAACAATTACAAGCTACTTAAACAATCATGAGAGGCCCATGATGTAGCTACGCAGTGGCATTTGAAAGAAACAGCCTTACCTGCATTTACAAGAAAACAGGAAAGTCTGCAAAGAATTGAGTTATGCTTTCACCTTGAGAAGCTAGAAAAAAATCAAAATAAGCCCAAGAACAGAATTAGTAAACATGAAAGCATAAATTATCAAGATCAAAAGCAAACAGCAGTAACAAAAATGTAGTTTTGGTGAACAGAGCAAAGATATGTGAGCAACATTCAGCATGTCAAAGGACGGGATGTAACTTTAAAGCATTAAAAAGAATATGTTAAAACATCCAAAATTTTAAAATCCATATAAAACAGATGACTTCCTCAAAAACTAAAAATGTCCAAAATTAGGGAAAAAAGAAACAGAAACACCATATAGACCAATCTCCATGAAGTATATTGAAAATATTTTCAAAGATCCACACCTGGGGCTTCCCTGGTGGCGCAGTGGTTAAGAATCCGCCTGCCAATGCAGGGGATGTGGGTTCGAGCCCTGGTCCAGGAAGATGCCACATGCCGTGGAGCAACTAAGCCTGTGCACCACAACTACTGAGCCTGCCCTCTAGAGACCGCGTGCCACAACTACGGAGCCCGCGTGCCACAACTACTGAAGCCCATGTGCCTAGAGCCCGCGCTCCACAACAAGAGAAGCCAGTGCAATGAGAAGCCTGTGCACCGCAAGGAAGAGTAGCCCCTGTTTGCTGCAACTAGAGAAAGCCCGCGTGCAGCAAGGAAGACCCAACGCAGCCAAAAATAAAATAAATAAAATAAAATAAATTAAAAAAAAAAAGATCCGCACCTGTAAACAACGACAGGTCCAAGAGACTTCATGGAAATGGCAAATTCTATGGACATTTGCAATTTATATAAGCAGTGTCAGAGCATAGTAAAAATACATTTTAAAATCCTAAATAAAATATTTGCATATGAAGTCCTGAATTTATCAAAAGAACATTACATCATAAGCAACTAGAGTTTGTCTTAAGAATGCTAAAAAGGCTCAACATTAGAAAATCCGTTAACATATGTTATTACATTAACAGATTAATATAGAAAATTTATGTGATCATCTCAATAAATGCCAAAATACCGTTTGCTATAATGTCACCAGTTACATGAACAATAAGAACAACAAAACTCTTCAAATTATTTAATAATCTCAAAAAAAGGAAGTCCTAAGTAAGACATGATATCCAGAAGCCATTAAGTAGGAGACTCATACATTTTACTACATTATAATATATGCTGGGCTAAAATATGGTATACACCACGCCAATGCAAGATGCTAATAACAGGAGAAACTGTGGGCAGTGAGAATGTGGGGAGAGTGGGTATGAGAACCGTCTGCTTTCTGTTCAATTTTTTATAAACCTAAAAGTATTCTAAGAAATAAAGTCTATTAACATAAAATATATATGTAATGTATGTATATGTACATATATCAACAAAGAGGAACAAACAACAACAAACTACAGAAAACACTTGTAACGCATCTATCTCATATTTTGTTAGTGAAATTGTAAGCTGAAGCTTGGCCTCTTTTAGAAACTTTGAATTAAAATTAAACATCCACGTGCTCTTTAGTTGAACAAGTTTATTTTTATGAGTTTAACATCTAAAAATACTCATAGATGAATACAAATGTTTACCTATAAATGTGTTTATTCCAGATTGTTTATAGTAAGAAGAGACTGAAAACTGCCTAAATGGCCATCAGAAGATTCTAGGGACTATGACATATCCATGAAATGAAATACCAGGCAGTCATGTTTTTGAAAAAGAAGTAGATTTATAAGCACTGATACGGAATGACATATTCAAAAGTGTAGTTGGTAGTGCTGTGGCAGAAAGCAACAGTGGCATGGAACAATTGGTGCTTGTTAAGGGTGTGTGTGTGAGAGAGAGACAGAGACAGAGACAGAGACAGAGACAGGGAGAATCCATGCAGAGCCTACCTAGAGAAGGATGCACATAAAAAAATGTCAACAGGCAGATGAATGGATAAAGAAGATGTGGTTCATATATACAATGGAATATTACTCAACATAAAAAAGAATGAAATAATGTCATTTGCAGCAACACAGATGGACCTAGAGATTATCATACTAAATTAAGTAAGTCAGGCAAAGACAAATACCATATAATATCACTAATATGTGGAATCTAAAAAAATGATACAAATGAACTTATTTACAAAACAGAAACATAGACATGGAAAACAAACTTATGGTTATCAAAGTGAGGGAGGGATAAATTAGTAGTTTAAGATTAGCAGATACAAACTACCATATATAAAAAGCTAAATGACAAGGTCCTACTGTATAGCACAGGGAAATATATTCAATATCTTGTAATAAACTATAATAGAAAAGAATATGAAAAAGAATATACATATAAATTTACATATGACTGAATCACTTTGCTGTACATCAGAAACTAACACAACACTGTAAATCAACTATACTTCAATTTAAAAAAATAATAACTTAAAGAAAAAGGTGACAGAACTGGTGCTAGGAGAGAAAATGGGGACTGGAAGTCAGGGATGTGAGGGAAATTATTTTTCACTGTTTATTTTTATTTTCTTTGAAATTTTCCCATGTACATATACTTAAAAATATATATCTTAGGGGGAAAAAAACCAGGAAACTATGAATATAAGAGAATATTCTTAATTAGATAAAGGTTATCTATCTCAAACCCACAACAACAGTCAGACATCAGAGTGACACATTAGAATCAGTCCCATTAAATTCAGACATAAAATAAGGATATGTACTATTTGTGCTAATATTCAAATTGTACCTGGTGCAATAAGATGCGGGGGAGGTATAAATGCTAGAAATGATAAAAATTATCACTTTCACAAATGGTATAATTATCCACATAGAAAATCCAAAAGAATCAACTGAAAAATTATTCGAACTTTTTAATTTTATTAGAGTATTTTTTATGTATTGTAAGAAGTTTATCCAGGTAGTCAAATAAATATAAGATTCACATACAGAAATCAGTAGCTTTTTTATGCATCAGACAAAACCAACCTAAAAGTGTAACTTAGAAACACACACACACACACACACACACACACGCATTCAAGATAGCCACATTTCAAAATATACAGGAATAAACACAGAAAAGAAACATACCATACTTATGTAAAAAGAGTTATAAAGCTTTACAAAGAACATAAAATAAGATTTGAATAAATGCAGAGATACACCACGGTATAAAGATGTGGATTCTCCTATAAATTAATATCTAAATTCAGGGAAGTTCCTATCAAATTGCCAGTGGATTTACTTGACAAACTTATTCTAAAATTCGTCTATAAGAAAAATATTTAAATAGAAACAAGAAAATTTTGATATAGAATGATGGTGACATTGCTCATTTTAAGGGCAACATAAATGGCCCCTGAGTGGGAAAAGATGGCCAACTTCACTAATAATCAGAGAAATGCAAAATAAGAAAATAACAAGATACCATTTTTTTGTCCTTAAATATCCTGAAATATCTAAAAGATAATTTGAGGGGGGAGAGAAACAGAAACTCACAGATACTGTAGATGGAAGTTTAATTGTTCCAGTCTGTTTTGAAGGTGGTTTGGCGGTGTTTATTAATACTCTGCGCCTATGGGCTAAATTGGCACTAAGAAGGTAACTTTCAGAGATGACTCCAGAGCACATTTAAACATGCACCCAAAGAGCCCGATAAAGCATGTTCATGTAGCACCACGTCTGACAGTCAAAAATGAGACACAATTCAAAGGCTCATTAGTAAGATAGTTTTTTAAAACATGGTACATCCATATTAGGGGATACAGTGCAGTAGTTTATTCATACTGACACTGCAAGAACTTCAAGATCAGTTATGTACTTCAAGAACATATGTACTGTGTAACACAGTTTATGTTCAAAATTTCAATGTATTAATAGTTACGCACATGCATGTGATTGTAAAAGCACAGAATAAAAACAAATGGTTAGGGACTTCCCTGGTGGCACGGTGGTTAAGAATCTGCCTGCCAATGCAGGGGACACGGGTTCGAGCCCTGGTCCAGGAAGATCCCACATGCCATGGAGCAGCTAAGCCTGTGCGCCACAACTACTGAGCCTGCGTGCCACAATTATTGAAACCTGCATGCCTAGAGCCCGTGCTCCGCAACAAGAGAAGCCACCACAGTGAGAAGCCCGTGCACTGGAAGGAAGAGTAGCCCCCGCTCGCCACAACTAGGAGAAAGTCTGCATGCAGCAACAAAGACCCAACACAGCCAAAATAAATAAATAAAATAAATAAATTTTAAAAAAATGGTTAGCTTACTTCTGGGGACAGGACAAGGATTAGAGATGTGGTGAAATCAAAGGGGACTCCTGCTTTCTCTGTTTGTTTGAAATTTCAAGATAAAAATGTAAGCCTATATTAATTATGTAATTTAAAACCTCTCCCAAAAGTTAATGTGGCAATTTCAAAATTTAAGCACATTTTTGTTTAAAACACATTCATTTAAAATGTGTATGTCATCACGTATCTTTATTTTATAAGGACCTGAATATTTTTCAACCTTATTAAAACCATAAAAATACTTTAAAGGTGGGGGAGTGGCAACATTACCTGTTGCCTTTCTGGTTTCTCTATATAAGGACTTTATGTTTCTTTATGTTATCACTGCAAGAAAACTTCACCTAAGCATTGAGGCACATACAGTCTATATTCTCTAATCCTAAACAAATCTTATGTCAAACCTCAGTGCTGGATCAGAAAATACATACTTTTAGAATGTGTGATGAAATAACAATATTGCAAAACTCATCAGGAATCTTCTGGAAGGGTTAGGGCTCCAGTGGAGAACCGGCCTTTTTGTTAATCATGAACCTTACTTTTGGATTCTTTTTCAAATACTCTGTATAGCTTTGCTGGGGAATAAATTTAAAAGTGTTCCATAACTCATCATAATGTCTTGGAAAGCGTCTGAAAATTGGGACCACCACAGCTTCCTGATAGACGTATGATATTTGGTTATTTGAAAAGCCATCGAGACAAGATGGAACATAGTCACAGGCCCAAAGATTGAAATTTCTTGAAATGTGTTGCCTTTTTTCTGAGGAGACCTTCTTACGTCCCAGGCCCTGGAGAAGAATCACAAGAAGGTTAGGAGAAAAATATTCAGGGTCACACAGTTCGGATGTCTTTAGTAAAACCACCTTCATGACATCCTATCTCTAAATGCACAGTATGACCACCCTTACAAGAAACATCCTTTATCAACCTGTTGAAGGCTATAAATTGACACTCACAACATCCTGGTTCTCAGAGCCTTCCACTCCCACCAAGAGGACTGGACTTCTAGAGACATGGAGGGCAGAACCGGAGAGACCACAGCCTGGACTCCCTGGGACCCCAAGTAGGTTCTCTGCACCCAGGTGGCTCCTCAGCATTTCCACCCCAGGCTGCATCTCCAGCACTCAGTGGGATGGTTCTTACACCGAGAGATCCAAAGATTCTTTCCTATCCCAGAGGATTCCCAATGAAGAAAGCAGCACCTTTGGGTCTCTGATCACAGGCTTCCTCATCAACTCTTACTAATGTGGCCATTAGAAAATTTTAAATTACATATGCGCTCGCAATCTCTTTTCGTCGCCCAGTGCTTTGTTAACCACCACTAACCAGTGCTATCAGACTTTATTTTCTTCAGTGAAACACCACCTCCAGAGAAAAGACAACTGCAGTTATTAGGAAGTCCTTTATATCATGTAAGCTCCCCATCCATTCCTTTGACTCCTCATGGATCCTGGCTCTGCCATCCAGAGACACACACAGGCAATCCGTCCTTCCCATGACAGATCTTCACAAGAAATCTCACAAATCAGACAGTTGATGGGAAAGCACCTTGATGAGCATGAAATTCACAGAAACCTAGGTGGAAGGAAGGCTGGTGCAGATTTTGAAAGCTACGTGGGACTCTGAGAATTTTATGCTTTCTTCCCCCCCGGTAACCTGTTATGAGGCTTTAATCTTGTTCCAATTTTGAGGTCAGTCCTCTATCTTCAACACGTCTCAGAAAATCAAGAGCCTTAATGTCGCTTCTCATTTTATTAGCAACTTGGAGAGAAATACTCACAGAGTCGAGGTAGAATCCAGAGTTCTGACAGCTGTGACGATTGTCGTGTACAGAGAAGGGGAAGTTGTTATTCACTGCTTGCTGGAAAAGAGCAAGGGAAGAGATGAAAAGGCACACATCAGAACCCCAGTATGCTTCCAGAACACACCTACAGGGGCATGGAAGGAAGACGGAGGAGGCAAAGTGACCTCTAAGTAAGAATTAAACCCATCAGGGCTTCCCTGGTGGCGCAGTGCTTAAGAATCCACCTGCCAATGCAGGGGACACAGATTCAAGCCCTGGTCCGGGAAGATCCCACACGCCTCAGAGCAATTAAGCCCATGCGCCACAACTACTGAGCCCACGCGCCACAGCTATTGAAGCCCGTGCACCTCGAGCCCGTGCTCCGCAGCAAGAGAAGCCACTGCAATGAGAAACCTGTGCACCACACTGAAGAGTAGCCCCGCTCGCCACAGCTAGAGAAAGCCCTCGCGCAGCAACGAAGACACAAAGCAGCCAAAAATAAACAAAATAAATACATTTATTTAAAAAAAGAAGAATTAAATTCATCGACAGCGATGGCACACACGGCACAGGGTGAGGTCTTGGGTGTGTGCATCAGCTCAAGGCTTTGAAACTCAACCTTATTGCCAGATTGCTGAAAATCATAAAAAATTCTCTTTAGGGCTTCCCTGGTGGCGCAGTGGTTGAGAGTCCGCCTGCCGATGCAGGGCACACGGGTTCGTGCCCCGGTCCGAGAGGATCCCACATGCCGCGGAGCGGCTGGGCCCGTGAGCCATGGCCGCTGAGCCTGCGCGTCCGGAGCCTGTGCTCCGCAATGGCAGAGGCCACAACGGTAAGAGGCCTGCATTCCGGAAAAAAAAAAATTCTCTTTAAAACATTTTATTGAGAGACAAGGAAGGGAAAGTCTGTAGGCATGGAATTGAAAGCTGGAAAAGAATTTTGAGGCCACCTTCTTCTTCTGCCCAATATGGATTCTAGGAGACCAGAGCTCTCTGGTCCAGGGCGGCTAAATGTGAAGTTAACCCTGTTTCTCCCTCTGGCCACCTCATGCCCCTAAAGTTGCTCATGAACTGGCCAGCAAGGAAGAACGTGTGTGTTAAGAACTCTGTCCATAGGGACTTCCCTGGCAGTCCAGTGGTTAAGACTTCACCTTCCAATGCAGGGGGTACAAGTTCAGTCCCTGGTCAGAGAGCTAAGATCCCACATGGCTCACGGCCAAAAAAACCCGAAAACATAAAACAGAAGCAATATTGTAACAAATTCAATAAAGACTTTAAAAATGGTCTACATCCAAAAAAAATCTTCACAAAGAAAAGAAAAGAACTCTATCCATAGAGGAGCCTAACTTTATTGTCTGGACCAGAGGTATTTCCTTCTCAAGACTATCTGAGGTATCGTACTGACCAGCGTATGAGGTAGGATGCTACCAGAGTTTAGGGGTCCAGGGAGAGCAAGTGAGCAGTTCCCTCTGAGAAAGAGTTGTCTGGTGCCAGCGGTGCCACCCCCTTGAAGAGCCAGGGGGGCACACGGCCAGCTCTCAGGACTCACCTTCTCCCGCACTTTGTAGATCAGTGGTAGCTTCTCCTCCACTCTCCGAGATAAACGTGGACTATTGGACTCTTTTAACATGGTACGTGTGATGGATTCTGGTGTCTTTTGCATTTGTCCAATGTGAGGGAACTGGAAAAACAGCACACGCCTTGATTAAAACCAGACACATCTGAATCTCTAAGCCAAGTATCAGGGCTTCCTCTGTAAAGGGATTAAAATGCAATTTGGGTGCTTCTGGCATGCGATGGAAATGGCATAATTTTTGTAATTTTCAAGTATTCTTTCCAAGACAAAATATATTGTCATGGCGCGAGGCCACCACTGCCGGTTGTTTCAAGTTACAGGGGCCACCCTGCCGCTCGGAGCCTGGAAATGTTTCCGAGGCCTGGTGAGGAGGGTGTGGCCCCGTGAGAGGGAGTTGATGTGCTCTGAGGAGACAGAATGCATTATCTGAGATCTTCCTTGTGGTAAGGGAGCTCTCTGCACTTGGGGCCAAGGATTCAGCCCATGTTCACAGGGGTGAGCCTACCTCCTGCAGGTATGAAGTGGACCTCAGGACACGGGGAAGGGGAGGAGAGAAGGGTCACGTTGAGTCTCCATGGAGCATGGAGAATGGTAGAGGGTGGGAAGATTATTTGGATGGCTGGGGGTGGGCTTTAGCATCTCTCTGTGAACAGAAGGGAAGGAAGCAGGACTGGGCCTAGGGAGGCAGAGTCCCAACAAAGGCCTGGACCAACCCCACAGGGAGCTCTAGACATGGATGCCTTCTCAGAGTCAGCCTGATGGAGTGAGAGGACTGGGCCCCTGTGAGCCTTTGTCAATCAGTCACTGGGTAGAAGAGGATGGTGGGGACCCAGGAAGTGACCTTGGGGCAGCAGCTCTTTTCAGCCACGGAATATCTAGGGGTGGACCTCCCAGGCCACACTTTCAGCAGCTGCGCAAGTAGTCCATTCCCGAATTCCCCCTGAAGAGGGATGCGAGTGGTGCTTGACAGCCTCTGTAGCTCACCCCAATTTTATATAAACAGCGCCTCTTAAAAGCCACCCCAACAAAGTGGACTTTGAAGCAGGGATCTCAAGGGGAGGAATATGACTGGAAATTACAATACAAACAGAAGGCAGGACCGTGACTCTTAGTGAAAATTCCTGAAAAGGGAGGAAGCATAACATGCTGGGTCACAAACAGTAGATTCAAACGCCCTGAGACCAATCCCAGCTCTCTCTCCCATGAGGTCAGCCTTCCGCAAGAGACTTAATTTTTCCAGGCCCCAGTTTCTTTATCTGTGAAATGGAAATAACAATACTTATTTGATAAGGTAGATGTGATTAAGGGAGAAAATGCACGCACCCAGCAAGTGTTCAATAGCTGTTGGCAGGTTCTATTTTTGCTCACAGCTGTCCCCTCCCTTGTCACCAAACCCACTGTCACACCCAAAGCCAGTCCTTCCTTCTCTTTGGGATTATAATGATATTAGCTAACACTGCCACTCTCTCCCATTCCTTCTCAAGTCATGATATAACTGCACATATAAGTATGGCTTTTGTTTAATTTCTGCACAAGAGTGTGTTTAGTATGCTACTATTTATGTCAAAAGGTAGAGAGATTATGTCATCTATGTGGTATACTTGGTGGGGCATTGTTGGCAGAGAAAAGGAGAACCAATTGTCCAGATGACACATAGCCTCAGAGAGCTCTTGTAAACTCAGTGCTGAGTGGAAAGAAGAAACAAAATGAGATCTATAACCCAACACCATTTATGTAAATAAATAATCCATGCACACAAAACAACAATACATAATTTACAAGAACCCATCTCAGTAAAAGAACTCCCATTATACACGTGTGAATAGCTGCCTGTGGGGTGAGCAGAGCAGGAACAGGGATCAAGGGCAAGGAGACAACCACACAAATCAACACACCATCATGTAGACGGGCTCTTCCATGGCCAAGCGACAGGGTTACCTCGGAGGAGGGCACCAGGGAAGGAAGAAGACTTTTTTGCCATCGTTTATATGTTTTTTAATGAAGTGCATCTATTAATTGCCTCGTTTTCCCAACAAAAATAATTGTATTTGTTTCTGATTAGAGTTATAATACATGCTTATGGTTTTTAAAAGTTCAAACAATAAAGAAAAACATAAGGAAGGAAGTAGAATTCCCCTGAAATCCCATCACTCTTTTCCCTTAACTCTTTTTTTTTTTTTTTTTTTTAAGCTGTGTTGGATCTTCCTTGCAGTGCGCAGGCTTCTCATTACAGTGGCTTCCCTTGTTGCAGAGCACGGGCTCCAGGCACGCAGGCTTCAGCAGTTGTAGCACGCGGGCTCAGTAGCTGTGGCGCATGGGCTTAGTTGCTCCACGGCATGTGGGATCTTCCTGGACCAGGGCTCGAACCCGTGTCCCCTGCATTGGCAGGCGGATTCTTAACCACTGCGCCACCAGGGAAGTCCTCCCCTTAACTCTTTGGTGACCAACTTCGTCATGCATCCTTGTGCAACTGTACACCCATATATATGCATAATTTGCACATATAGGATCGTATTATAAATGTGGCTTCAAAAATTATAAATTTATAAAATTATAAATGTGACCTTTTATTTTTCTGATCTCTGTTTTACTTTTTTATTTGAATTTTATCTATTTTTTATACAGCAGGTTCTTATTAGTTACCTATTTTATACGTATTAGTGTGTATATGTCAATCCCAATTCATACCCCCACCCCCACCCACCCTGCTTTCCTTCCTTGGTGTCCATACGTTTGTTCTCTACATCTGTGTCTCAACTTCTGCCCTGCCAACTGGTCCATCTGTACCATTTTTCTAGATTCCACATATATGCGTTAATATATATTTGTTTCTCTCTTTCTGACTTACTTTACTCTGTATGACGGTCTCTAGGTCCATCCACGTCTCTACAAATGACCCAATTTCATTTCTTTTTACGGCTGAGTAATATTCCATTGTATGTATGTGCCACATCTTCTTTATCCATTCATCTTTCGATGGACGTTTAGGTTGCTTCCATGTCCTGGCTATTGTAAATGGTGCTGCAATGAACATTGGGGTGCATATGCCTTTTTGAATTATGGTTTTCTCAGGGTATATGCCCAGTAGTGGGATTGCTGGGTCATATGGTAATTCTATTTTTAGGTTTTTAAGGAACCTCCATAGTGGCTGCACCAATTTACATTCCCACCAACAGCGCAGGAGGGTTCCCTTTTCGCTACACCCTCTCCAGCATTTGTTGTTTGTAGATTTTCTGATGATGCCCATTCTGACTGGTGTGAGGTGATCCCTCATTGTGGTTTAGATTTGCAATAAATGCCTTTTTATAATTTAATGGTAACTTTTGGTTTCTGTTTCCTTCTCCTTCTTGTCACCCCCACCAACACCCCAGATAACAGTGATAACAATAGTAAAGACAATAGCTCTCGTACGATACTTTACAAACACTCGTACCTACAAAAGTGACTTACACTGCTTTATAAAAATTGGACCATATGATACACACGATTTTACACCTTGCTTTTCTCACTTAACAATATACCCCAGAAATTTTTCAAAATCAACCTATACATTTCTAATTCATATATATTTTTCTAATTCATTATATATTTTTTAATGCTTTTAAACAATTTTTAAGTAAATATAAATAATACGGAGGGCCTCCAGACTCAGAACCTTTCCCTTTTCCCCTCCTCCAATCTGATTTTCCAAGTTATGGAAAATCAGGCCAAGGTGGAGAGTTTTTCTACATCACGAAGGATCCCTGTCACCAGCTAAATGACAACTGACTTGAGTTCATTTGTATTCTGCAAGTCTTTGGACTAAATCACTGTAAAAAAAAAAATGGCTCTAGCATTTTAATTTCACTCTTTTAAAATATATACTTAATGGCTATAACATGATAGCTGTGAAATAAACCCTTCTGTTAGATATTGTAACCGTGAAATACAGCTTTTTAACTAGTTGGCAGTGAAATTTTTGCTGCATTCAATCACTCAATGACTGAAATATTAAATAGGAAGGTGAAAGTGTGTGCAGAGAGCCTTCTCTACCTAGTAACAGCCACATTACCACCAGCAAGGTCAACTGCGAAATGACTGTCACCTCCAATGTGGCAATTCGTCTCCCAAATGGGCTGCTGCTGATGCAAAGCCAACAATTTCTTTAATTTTCCCAACAATTTACTTTGGGAAACTTCACGTCAGCACTATTCTTTTTATGCTCTTAGGTGCCAGCAGCAGAAAGGACCCACACCAAAGGCTCCCCACTTAAACTGGGCCCAGGTACATTCCTGGGACACCAATAGGAGATGCAACGTTCTTTCTCGATTTCTGCCTTATAACAGAACCCTGACTTTGTTTGGGGTGGCAATGTGGTTGGTTAAAAAATACCCCCCCAAACTCCCTTGCAGCTAAATTGGCCACGTGACCAGTTGAAATGAAAGCAGAAGTCTGTGGGTGGGGCTCGTGGGAAAGAGATTGCTTCCCCTAGAAAAGGGGGTAAACTTAGCTGACAGCTGCCTTCCATCTATTTATCCGTTGACTTTCCTCTTTCTGGTAAATCCGTTGATTTACCTGCCTGAGTTGACACACTGCACTAAGGATAACAGGACAGGAGGCTGAAAAGAACCTGGGCCTTTGACAACGCCCTAGGGCATCTGTACCAGCCCTGAACTGCCTCCCTCTGGACTGATTGTTACTAGAGAAACACAGACCCCTGTCTGCATAAGGCACCGTAGTCAGCTTTTTATAATATTCAGTCAAACACAGCCCTAACTGATACTGTAGGTGATAAAAAGAGGCCAAGCTATTAAGTCTGAGAAGCTTACGTTGTCTCTTCCTAACCAATTAGTGTATGTAGTTCACGTTATTTCCCATTTTACTTTGGCTGCCATGAAACTCAGAGTCAAATGTTATATCCAAATAGCTACTGTTTAGGCCATATGGCCTGCATGTCTATGTGACATATTTTCCCAGTCTCAGCCTCTTAAATTATATTTAAACTGGTTCTGAATTCTTATTTTTATATACTTTACTACTTTATTGTGAATATTTTCCATTCATTACTTTAAATCTGTGAAATGGAGCAGGGTATACAAGAAAGAATATCAGTATAAATATATATC